ACACCTCTCGCCACTACCACCGTCTGTGCATCCTCACCGCCACGCTGAGCCAGCGTGGCGGTGAGTTGCACCTTGGGACACCACCCACCTACTATCTTATGTGGCCTGGTTTGCCCGCGAGGGACTCACAAGGTCGATTTCGGCCCCGGNCTTTTCTTCCGTTTAATCCGAGCGGCGAGTTCCTTCGCATCGATCCATCCTTGCAGGGCTCGGTGCTTGCCTGTGGTGTTTGGACGAGGAGGGTGCAGCACTCCCCCCCCGCGTCGCCCGCGGTTATCTCCCTTCTCCCGCGAACGGTNACTATCTTATGTGGCCTGGTTTGCCCGCGAGGGACTCACAAGGTCGATTTCGGCCCCGGCCGGGGAGCAGGCCGGGGAGGGGAGGAGGTGACTAGTGTCCACGGCGGACGTGAACAACGCTTACCGAAACGCGAGAGTTGCGCCAGACGATGCACAAAAATTCTGCTATGTGATAAGAGACGTACTAGTCGCCGACTTCAGACTGACGTTCGGATGGGCAGGTTCGCCCGGTTTTTGGGGAGTCATGGCGTCCGCCGCTGAACACTCACACCGCAACACCAATGTACACAACGTACAACTAGTAGACGAAGGGATCAAAATGATGTCACATGTGAAAATAGTCGAGCCGTGGGAAGACGGACAACCCGCCCGAGTGCCCCGAGATGCCAACGTGAAACCGCACGACGGAGGCGGACCACACGATGATTTCTCGTGTGGGATGTACGTAGGCGATTTCGCTTTCCTGAAAGTACAACATACGCCAGACAACGCTTCAGCGCTGGNAGCAGACTGGAACACGAAAGTGGACTCTCTCGGACACACGATAGACACCCATAAAATGATGATCGCGACAACACGTGAGAGGATCGACGCGATAAGGACCGCGCTAGAGAACGATTGGCCACAGACCAGAGAATTCGCCAGTGTGCAAGAACTCCTGAGTATGGCGGGAAAACTCTGGAACCTGACGTACGTCATGAGGGCGGGGAAATATTTCGTATGGCACCTCTTACGCCTCACCGGCCTACACAACAAGACTAACAGACAGTCGAGAGAGAAGCGGCAGGTACGTCTTGGTTGAGAGTTCCACGGAGACCTAGACTTCTGGAGATGGGCGCTGGAAGTTAAACTCGAGGAGAAAGGAGAGTCACTTGGCGCGTTTTTCTTTAACCACGTCCAACGCACGCCTCTCCGTCACTACCTATCGGATACTAGCTTCGACGCGGTAGGCGGACACTGTCCCGAATTAAAAGTGTGCTGGCGGTATCGATTTCAACCCTCGTTTACCGCGGAGCTGAAAAGGAAAACAGAATCCAAAGAAACCAGCGCAATCACGATCAACACGCTAGAATTGCTCGGGATGATAATTACATGCTGGGTGGTCCAAATGGTTGTGGGAGAAAAGCCGACGCAACCCGGACAAGCAATCATGATGAGGGGAGACAACGTGTCGGCGGTATCATGGGTAAACAGATGCGGGGGCTCGAGCGATAGGCGAGCGGGACTGCTCATGAGACTGCTTGGTCGTATGGAGATTGAAACGGATGGTGTCACGTGGCGAAACACATCCCGGGACGCGAGAATACCCTCGCGGACGGGATATCTAGATGGAAGTCAGAGGACGTAAAAGCCAACGTGGAAAGACTCACGCACGACGATAACTGGCGAATGCAAGACATGGGAGATAACGGAAGAGAACTATTTGAAATTATACTGCAGGAGAAACTCCCGAACCGAAGAATGGATGGCCTCGTGTTGAGCCGCAAGGCAAGCGTGTAAAGAGAAGAATGAGAGAAGGATCAGCAAAAGAACTAAGAAAAGGTGGATGACTCTAACGTGTTCAAGCGCAGGAAGCGAACACGGGACGAAGGGAACGAGCGATGAAGGCGAAAGGCTCCTCAGGGTTATGGAGCACGGCTCCCTCAACGCGAGCACGCTGAAGGGATACCACAGCAAGTGGGACACGTGGACAGCTGAAAGAGCTAAAGCGAATCTGAGTCCATGGTTGTACGAAGAAGACGGTGTGGATAGCGCAGTGAGAGAGCTGACTGTGTTCATGGCGTCGAGGTGTTTAGTGAACAAGAACCAGAGCCAAACGGTGAAGGGGTACCTCGCGGCTATCAAGTACTTCCATAAACTGTACGCAGGCTGGGAGCTGCCCACGTCTCACTTCAGAGTGGTAGCTGTTGGGAAGGCAATAGACAGACTGCATGCGAGGGCAGAGACGAAACCGTTGGTAAGGCAACCGCTCACCGTGCCGATGATCATTGCTGGTAGAGAAAGAGCGCAGACGAATGCTTTCGGACTAGTGACGTGGATGGGGATCGCTCTCTCATATTTCTTGCTGTGCCGAGCGTCTGAGCTGTGGGCCTACCAGAACGGCTTAGTACACGTCGATTTTTGTCTCACGAGAGGGAACCTCGTATTCTTCGAAGGAGCGTGTCGGCTAGCGTGGAACGAAAGAAGGCGGGCAGACAGAGCAGAAGTGACCTTTCGCGCGTCGAAAGCGGACCAAATGAGGCGAGGCGCGGTAGTAACGAGAGAGAGAGAGTAGTGCGGGACGAGGAAGGGGGACAGATGGCTGAGAAGATGGGGGCGCTAGAGATCTTGCTGAGTCTGCTTGACGTGCACCCAGAGTTAGGAAGTAGCGCGCCGCTCATGCAGTCGGTCAAGCAGGGACGGTGGGCAGTAGTGTCGAGGTCGGAAGCAACGACAGTGCTGAGAGACATGGCGAGAAGAGTAGGAGAAAGACCCATCGCACTTCGCGCTGCATTCAGGGAGGATAGGTGGTGCGACGCAACTAGCAAAGCAGGGCGCATCGGTTGTTCAGATTCAGAGGGCGGGAGGTGGAAGTCAGGAGCCTTTATGACGTACGTGAGGGCAGGAGGCGAAGGCGCTAAGTATGTATCGCGTGCACTAGCGTCTAGCTGAAGGGGAGAAGTAGCGTGGACAAGAGCGCCGAGTATCGGGCCGCGCAATGGGATATGACCTGGGCATAGACGTCGGGTTGGCCCGATAAGTGATACCTAGTGAGTCCGAGAAGAAATCAATGGTTCGGCTCATAGGTTGGAATTTGGTTTTGATATTTTTTGGTTTCGGCGTTTCTGATTTCTTGTCGCCTTTTCTAATAATCCAAATTTATTGAGCTAAACACAAAACGAAGGATTCGGTATAACCGTGAATCCGTAGTTTGTGGAAGCGTTCCGGAAATTTCGTGAAAGAGCGGCGAGAGGCAAAAAAGGGTACACGGGGGTATAGCTATATACAGGGTGCAAAGAAGAGAGAGAGAGTGGCAGAAGCTTTTGGGATCCTTGGGAAGCCGAGGATCTCGAAGGGAAAAGCGTTGCATCGCCCGCGAAGGCAGTGCAGCAAAGCAGCAGCGAGAGAATAGAGTTTTCGTTTGGGACTTGATGGAATTTTCCCACCCACAAATGTCGAAATAATGTTTATCACCCATTGGTCGAGGAGCTACAGTCCCTCCAAAAGAATCTGAGCTCCTTGCAAGACAAAGGGTGACTTGGTTTGCAGCATGAAGAGTCTCCCCGAAACAGGTGAGGACACTTTTCATACTGAAGCCAAGTCAGCATACTTTCCAGTACCAGGCGTTGTACAGTTTTATGGCCAAGGGGTTACTACGCGGGTTGGGAGATGTGTACAGCAAGTCAGAGGCCCAGGAGACGCATCACACAGCATGTCACACAGCGTACCACCTCAACCAAGCATGATAGACCAAGGGTTCTGACGTGCGTTGCACACAGCGGAGCCTGGGGTAAGGGGTATTATTATCAGGCCGAAAAAATACGTATTCGGTTACGAAACCGTACTTTCTTGAAAAATATGGAGGCGTTCCTCTACGTTTCCGTAAAAAGAGGGAAGCGTATTTTTTCTGGGCTTGCTCCTTTTTACTGTTCGATGAAAAATTTCCCGCTTTTTTCGACGACCGGAGCAGACACCGGTCACCAGTGCTGCACGACAGAAAAAACAAAAGTAAGTACGCTGAATAACGCTTCCAACGGGAAAGCAGCCCCTTGTGGAAACCCCTATGATCAGGCGGCTCGCTTGGCAACAGACCTCCACACCTAGCACCGGCTCTTGAGGGCGAACGAGGGCATAAACTGTCCAGATTTAAGAAGAGGTATGTAAATAAGATACCAGGGCACACCAGGGTATGTTTTATATGTCCAGTTGCTCACGGTAGGGTGAAAAAGTTGGACTTTAGCTAGAGCGTACGACCATGCAGCAGCTCCAAAATCAGGGAGCGAGCTTCACACGCGACCCGACCTCTGCGCGAGGTAGTTGTATTGCAGCCTAACTATGCTGTCGCCATATACCTAGCTAGGTTATGTTGCCACCTAATGCAAAAGGTTTGAGGCGATTTAGTGCGGCAGGGGATAAGCATGGTGTGTCCAAAATTCAAATTTCAGGAGAGTCCACGCCTTGGGTCCGAACTCAGCCCTCTTCCACGTTGCGCATGTACATCCATTGCATACACGATTTACACCCAAGATACGATGGAAATGCTCGATGCAGTAATTCCAGCTTAGGGTCAGCCAATCACTACGAGTTTCAGTCAAACTGGGCTTCAAGAGGGCAAGTACGATTTCTTCGAGTTCAATTATTACACTCGGTGCTTTGCCAATATACGAGCCGAACATGACTCGGGGAGTTTAGCTGCAGACACTCCAGTCCGTGCATAAAGATTTAAACGCCGCGGCATCACATGGTCAGGTATATAAACTACGTATTTGAACAGGCTTCAGTCCGTTGCGTTCTCAGGTGCATAGGCGCGGGAGGAAAGAGGATCAGATCTCATGCATGGGTTAGAAGAGGCACCGAAGATCCCACCCCACGAATAAGCGTGCGCCTGGCTTAGCTGTACGTTCAAGAGTAACATGTTGTTTTTGTAACTCTGGTCAGGTTTCGAATGCATGGACAAACGGCCGGTATAGGTCGAGCTGCTGCTACATGAATCGTCAGAGACGTAGGGTGGGCCAACAGGCTTGTGGGGTGAACAGCCCCACAGCTCTACCGGGTACGCCACCGGCGATGCCTCGGAACCAGTCTGGGAGCCCTTCTACACCCGGAAGCGGGGGTATACAGCCGATATTAACCCTTCGACAGCTCACGGAAGGCGCGCTAACCCCGCGTAAGCCAGTGGTCGACGACACAGGAGGAGACTCCACAAGTGAACGTCCACAGAACGGGAGCAGGAGACAGGGTAACCTAACCACCGAGGCGCACACCCCCGTCGCCGCGACAAAGCGCGACGCGGGAGATTCCGGTGCACGTGTCCGTCGAACGGGAGGAAAGACCCGGTCGGGCAGGAAACGGAGGAGGAAGAGGAGGCCCTCTGCTAGTGTCACGGGTGGGTGCCTACCCAACCTCAAGAGCAAGCTCGAGGAGGAGGATTACTACAAGCTGCAGAGCGAGGCCAGGAGGGAGGCCACGGCTCGTAGAGATCGCGCGATTGCCGAAGACGAACGGCGACGATCAGAGGCCGGGGGGAATCACCCCGTTGATACTCGGCGTAGGAGCCACGGCGGGAACCCAAGACAAACCAGTCATCTGCCGAGCAAGCGGAATGCGGGTAGGAGACTTTCTGCCCCGGCGGTGCTACCTGTAGGCCAACCAACAGGCAAGAA